CATCCCATTTAAATGGGCCAAAATGCATTCTAAATATTCACTTAATGTTATGTTAACACATTTTAGGATATATATTCTCTTCTGGATTGTTTTGTTCTTGAGATATTCAATTTTTTTGGGGGGGAGTCTGCTATTTTATTGGGGGGGAAAGGCACCATTAGATATTGATTCTTTAATGCTTCTACATTTTGGAAAAAGTCACTATCTTTCTTACTTTTATTTCATCTTCATAATATAAATATATCTCTCCTAGTTGGCTATTTTTTTTCCTGTCATAGTCAGAAATTTTTGGGAGACACATCACCTCCCAATCTCTTCCGTGGATAGGCACTACCTTTCAGTGTCTCTCTTACTTGCAAAAACATCTATCTATATTCTGTTTTTATCTTGATAAAACTTTTAACTTTTTCTGTACTCCATTTCCTATTCTTCTAATTACCACAGGGTAATTTGCCATTTTTTTTAACACTAATATTGAATATCTATGTTTGTTTGGCATAGAGAAACATACTACTTATATGGTAATATTTCATTTTAGGAGAACTTATGATTTTTGTCTAGGATATGCTGGACATTATTGGTTATTTTATGTTTCCTTGTGGACAGTTCCATGAAATCATTTTTCAGGATATTAAAATAATTAGTTTCAATGGGCATCTCACTGTTAATAAAATTTAAATTAGAAGTAAATTTTAGCAGGAATAAATTATTTATATTGTATTGTTGAAGCTATGTAAAAAGTCAAACCAAAATGTAGTTATCCTAAAGACAGAAAAAAACACCAATGAAAACAGAACCAGTGTGGTACCTGGAATATTTTTTTAACCTGTGTGTGTGTGTGTGTGTGTGTACTTTCTAGATTTCTTTTAGTGAACATAACTAATTTTATAAAATAGTAACTTTATACTGGGAAATATATGCTTTTTAAAGAGCATACTTAGGAATTTGTGTTTCACCCAATGTCTGCCCTCATGTTGGCCTTTTTGTGATGTAGAAAAGCATACGCGGAGTCCTGCTATGCCAGTCTTCCTTGCCTCTAGGACCTTCCATACCTTATGCGAGCTCAGTCTAAGGGGCTGTTGTTTAGAGATGACTTCAGCAGAGACAGAACTGCACAGGCCACCACTGTTGACATTCTTGAGACCAGACCAAAGCAGAGAGAATTTTTTCCTCTTCGTTCCTCTCATCTTTGAAATCTAGACTCTGACTTGGGAGATATAGGTTCCTTGGAATGCAGGAGCAGATTTTACAGTTGGGAATTTTCTACTTTCCATAGAATTGTTTTAATGCATTAATAGAAAAGAAGTACTCTGTTTATATTGGTAGGATTTCAAACACTTTTGTTTCACGGCCCCTTTATTGTGTTTGGAAAGCAATAACCCTCTCCCAGGGTCACTTTTAGGAATGACAGGACTTCAGGCCACTATATGCAGAGAATGTTAATATTGTCTGAGGAAGTTAAGCATTTTACCAAACTTGAATTGTTTCTGTAATTAGAATTACAGAATCCTAAATGTTGAGGGCTACTATTGCCTTATTTTACATTTAAGTAACAGGGATTGGAAGTGGTTAGAGCAATTTATTCAAAATTGGCATGAGAAATGGAAGCAACTCTGTGTGATGCTGTGTAAGTCAGGCAGCCCTGAGTTTCTATCCCAATTCACCCCTTCTTAACTATTTGGGTTGGCTTCTTATCTAATGCAACCTCCCTGAGGGGTTGTGAGACTAAATGAGATCAGATATGTTAGGCTCCCTAACCCACCTACAGCCAAACCCAGGCCTTCCCCTGTGTCCTCTGAAAAACTCCTATTTGTTGTTAATTCTGTTCTGTAAAGAAAAGAAAACTGAATCCAAAAGGAAGAGAAGACATGCATACTTAATTCTGATCATTTCAATTCACCCTCCCCCACCATAGTTAGAATTCTTCAATGCCTCTTTTTTATAAAACTTGGGTACAATCCAAACTCTTGCTTATAGTTCACAAGAAACTCTAGGATTTAGACTCTGTCTCCTTCTCTAAAGACTTTTCTACCTTTTCATTCCCTCCACAATCCTCATCTCCAGTCAGACCTTTGCTAAGTCTCTGGGGGAAATAACCTCCCACCACAAAGTTCACTTTCCAACATCCACTCATGTCTCCTCAAATCCCTCATTGCCCTGACTTCCCCTCCCCAAAGATGCAATTTCTTAAATGCCTGTGTTCCACAAAAGTAGGAACCTATTTTCTTCACTTGATGCCTAGATCCCAGAACCAAAGTGGACAATATTAAAACTCCTTTAAAATTGAGAGGCATTATAGTTTAGCAATTAAGGGGACAGAGTCTAGGCCTAGAGCCCTTGAGTTTAATTAAATGTTGGCTCCACTACTTTCTAGTTTCTGTAGCTTTAGGCAACTTACCACTTTCTAGTTTCTGTGGCTTTAGGCAACTTAGCTTTTTGCCCTTAGTTCCCTCATATGTGAAACAGGAATCATCATGATGTCCAATTCATAGGGCTGTGCTGAGAGTTAACATATTTTAAACAACTAAAATAATTCCTGCCGTATGATTAGTACAATTATTACTAGTCTATTATATCATTACATTACCATTCATTATCATTTAAGCTACCATACAACAGGGGCAATACCTCTTCAACATAAAACTCCAAATAACTACTATAGAGGGAGACATTTTTATACAGCACAAAGAAACATAAGCTAATCAAATTCTCATAAAAGTTTGTATTCCACACATATTCTGGCTCCTTACTAATGTAAAACACACTAGGTTATGTTCAGGGAGACATAACCAAGAATAAATCAAGAGCCTAGTCTTCAAGCTCAGAATGCAATGGAAAACACAGACATATACACACAGAATAGCAACATTTGTGGAAGTAAATGAATACCAAGCAAATGAGAACAAGCAAAGTCTGTTTATTCAGAGCTCAGGATAGCAAGGGAGTCAGCCACTATTACTTGCATTTAGTGGAGACTCAAAGGCAGGCAGAAGAGAGTGGGAGAGCTTTACAGTAGAGAAATGGGAAGGCTCAGTACACCCTGACTAGAGGCTGTTTGATGTTGGCATGTTGGCTTTTTGTGGACTAACCAGAAATGGGCACCCTATTTGTCTAGTTAAGGATGCATATTTTGGCCTAAGCTGGAATTGGGGACAAAATTAGGAAAGATGTTAGGTATTAATCAAGTCCTGGACATTTTGGGTTGATCATTTTAGGGATTATTGCTTGGATTCCTATACTAGTAACTAAAGCCAGCACTCTAACTTTCTGTAAGTCTGACCTACAGATAGCTGGGTGGCTGTCTATAGCTAGGTAGTACATTGGTTTCCTGAGCTCGTTGCTGCGCATTGTGGGTCAAAATTTTATTTTTATACATGTCCTGACCCAGTTACTTCAGGACCATTTGTTGGAAAGATAATTCTTTATTGACTGGATTGTTTTGGCACTCTTGTCAAATACCAATTGACTATAAATGTAAGGGTATATTTCTAGACTCTAAATTCAATACATTGATCTATATGTCTATCCTTATGCCTGCACCACATTGCTTTTATTATTATAGTTTGCAGTAAGTGTTGAAATCACTTTTCCAGTTTGTTTTAGCTATTTTTGGTCTTTTCTCTTTTCATATGCATATCAGGATAAGGTTATTAATTTCAACAAAGAATTCAGCTGGGCTTTTGGAAAGGTTGTGTTAAATCTCTAGATCATTTTAAGGGTCTTGTGATGAAACAATATGTCTTCTGATTCATTAATATTCAATGTCTTTGCATTTATTTAGGTCTTGCCTCCCCTAACCCCCAGTGTCTTGTGTCCATTGATACACTTCTTTATTTAAATATTTCTAAGTATTTTACTCTTTTTATGCCATTATAAATGGAATTGTTTTCTTAATTTCATATTTGGATTTTTAATTGCTGGTATATAGAAATACAACTGATTTTTGTATATTGATCTCATATTTTGCAACCTGTTGAACTCATTTATTACTCATTTATTAGTTCTCATAGTTTTTTACTGGATTCCTTACTATATTCTCTATATAAGATCATGTAATGTGCAGACAGTTGTACTTCTTTCTTTCCAATATGGAAGCTCTTTATTTCTTTTTCTTGCCTTATTGATCCAGGCTAGAATCTCCACTAGCAGAAGTTCTTGATCTTAGGGGGAATACAAAAGTCTTTCACTGTTAATTATGAGGTTAGTACCGTTTTTTAAAAAATGTTTTTATTTATTTCAGAGAGGAATGGAGAGGGAGAGAGAGAGAGAGATAGTAACATCAATGATGAAAGGGAGTCATTGATTAGATGCCTCTTGCATGCCCCCTACTAGGGATGGAACCCACAAACTGGGCATGTGCCCCTGATCAGAATTGAACCCGCGACCCTTCAATCTGTAGGCTGACACTCCATCCACTGAACCAAACCAGCCAGGGCTTAGTACCAGGTTTTTAAGTTACTTTGTTTAAAATTATAATTGACATATAGTAGTATATAGGGGTGTGCAATAGGTTTACAGTTGTATGTGAAACAGTTTATTCTTGTATTATTATTAATTATGGTATTATTTATTTGTATCATGACTGTAAACCTATTTCTGCTAACCCCTGTATTAGGTTCAGGTGTTCAACATAGTGATTCAACATTTATATATCCTACAAAGTCATAACCACAGTAAGTCAGGTAACCATTTATCATCAAACATAATTATTACAGTACTAGTGACCTGGCACATGAAATTGTGAGACCCTGCCCACCCGCCCGCTGCCCTGCCCTCCCACCTGCTGCCCTGCCTTACCTCTCCACCCAGAGCTTGAGCATGCCTGGCCCTGCCCCCACCCCCTCCGGCTTTCTCTGGCTGCTTCAAGCCCCGCCCTTGGTCACC